AGAGAGGAACTCAGTCATTTCTGGAAGTGACCAAGCTTCGCAACGCTCGGAAAGTTCCCAATGAATTTGGGTGTTGAGAGACTGTGCATGCTGTGCTACCTCCATTGCTCCTCTATACTGTACTCTGGCCTTGTTCTGTTTCTCTTGAAGTCTAACTTGCTGTTCAGGAGTACGTTGATTTAACCGTTGAAGAGGACAAAATGGAGCACAATCACAAGCTATCCAAAGGTGAACAGGCCGGAAGATGTCAAGCATCCTCTTGGCATGGCTAATACCTTCAGGGGTTTCCAGATCTCCCCCATTCCAAATGCTACATCGAATTGCGGAACCCTTTCCAAATCTTCTCTCCACTTCATTGCAAAGGCGGCTATCAGGAAAACAAGCTAGTTCCATCAACAGGGGTCTTTTGTGTTGAACTAGAGATTTCCATTGCTCACTGAAAGGGTTCTGCTGCACATGCCATCCCTTGACTATCTTCACTTGGGTCTCTTGAGGTAGAGGTGCTTCTGCGCATTGTTCTCTCACATCTCCTTGCGGTTCTTGTGGCTGTACTCCCCGGTGGCTTTCCGGAGTTGTGTCTCTGCCTCCTCCACCTCCGCTGCCTGCTTCTGAATCTTTTGCTTCTCGAGCTCTAGAAGAGCCCATTGACGAGCCAGTTCCTGAGCTTCCTGGTTGGGCTCTGGTGTTTCTGAGATCATGCTGAAGCTGGTGTCGCTGGCTGTGTCTTTCAGCATAGTCACACCTCTGGTTGAGATCTTGGAGTTCTTGGCGCTCTGGAGGACTTGCATTTGGGCCTGTTGCATCTCGGCCCACCGGTGAAGACGAAGGAGTCTCCAATGGGGATTGTCCGACTCGAGAGCTGTCGTCTTGATCCACTGGAGGTATGAGGGATGCTGGGAAGCCACTTGCTGATAGGTGAGATTGGCGTACTTGCCGAAAGCGACAAGCTCTTGATCGTGGGGCTCGAACTTTGCATAAATTGTTTTCTCCCCCAGTGCCACCATTTGTGCGATGGTCATGTTGTCTGTCACAGTCACATTGTGTGCCGCCATAAAGTTCACCAAGTCGGACTTCTTCCGAGCTGCCTTTCTCATCATCTTCAGTGTGTCCCCCAACTGATTCCCTTTCACTCCCTCTTCGCCTTTCTCCATCTTGATCTCTGCCCAGAAGCTTTGCAGCTGAATCACTGTCCATGAAGTCGGAACCTGGTAGCCCTCGTCCAGGATGCGCTTCACCCACTCGGCCTTGTTCTTGGGTTCCGGCATGCTGAAGGGTGACTGGATACACCGGCTGGCAAGAGGTCGAAGCTTTTGAGGCAGAAACTGTTGATGTGTGTGCATGTTGTGGGGTATGTGAGTGGAACGTTTCACAATTGAAATCCTGAGTCTCTGAACAAAAACTACAAACGCCGTCTAGACACGCTTCCAAGCTGCACACTGCACATGCTGAAAAACATGTTGTGGAAACCCCAATGCATGCACCATGTTGGTCATGCGAAAAACCCTGAGTAGAGCTCCCCTGGGCACGTGTGTCCATTTCCCCAGAGGAGCGTAGTCCCTATTCAGCTAAGTGGAAAATTGGGGTGGCGCGTTTGGTGCCCCCTTCCAGCAAATTGCCGACCAAGGGCATCAGGAGATGGCCGTTATTGGCCTCTTTCAATGGGACGACTGTGTGAGGATCCACATTGGTATACACAATTTGATTATTTTTGAAATCAACAATGGCACCAAGAGATTTCAAGGCTCGGCGAGAGACTAAAATGGGTTGGCCAGGGCTGTCATGGACATGGACTTCAAAATTGCCCTTCTTGTCTCCAACATCGATACCTACCTGTACGGTGCTGAGACAGACCTTTTTCTGGCCATTCCCAAACTTGAAGGTGGGACAGCGGCTAGGATCAACTACCATCTTGCCCTTCCCGCTCTCAGCAAGGTTGGCCTCTCTCCAAGCTTCCATCGCATCAACCGATCCCAATGAGGCTGTTGCACCTGAGTCCAAGATGCCATAGGCTCCCAGGTTGAAGTTGCCTTCCTGAGTGTTCCCAAACTGCGCACTTTCTTCTTGCGTTGTCTGGTCGGGAGTGACAGTAAATGCGATCTCGGCCTCTTCTTCATGTGTCACTTGAGCTTCCTTGTTTTTCAGCGGACAGTCTCGTTGGAAGTGAGGTCCGCCACACTTGAAACAGAGAACTGACTTCTTCCCATCTCTTGTGGTAGCAGAGGATTTTTGGAAAGGCTTCGGAGGGAAAAAGCTTCGGCCAAGCTTGACTTGTCGCTGCTTCCATCTGGCTTCCTTCAGAGTAGCCTTGTGTTGGCGGATTGCCTCGAGGGCATGTTCAGCTTCTTGATCATAGGTCCAAAAAGCCTCTTGTTCTTCTTCCCCCAACATGGCTATCTCCTCTTGTGTGTAGTCCAGGTGGTATGCTTCATCCTTGCCAATGTCGCCTTCAAGAGCGACCAAGGCGCTTCCCATCCGGTGTTTGTCATGCTTGGTCAGGTCCACATCGCTCCATTGCTCCCGGAGAGCTTTTGCCACGGCCTGAGTGGTGAACTCCCCTTTGATCGCAGTGAGGATGTTGGATTTCTCCGCTGGTTCCAGACCACTGCGGTGAAGGAGAAGGAACCCCGCCAGGAACTCTGGAATGAATGGTCTTTCATCAAATTCCCATTCATGTGGAGGGTCGTATTCGGGAGATTTCCAAGACCACTGATCCCCAGACTGAGACCAATCCCATGATCTTTGCCCCCATGTCCAGTATTGGTTTTGGTGGTAAGGACCTCCTCCCTCCTCATCATCATCTTCTGCTAGCCGGCCATCTTCCCCAAAGGGATGACTGTGCTGAGAGCGCTGAGATTGACTTTCCCAGGCCGAACCCCACTGAGAAGATCTAGGTGCAGGAACTGACTTGCCCTGCTTCTCGTGCTCTCGTTGAACCCTTTGAATGGCCCTAGAGGCCTCCCACAGCTTCTCGCTGTGTCTTGCTACCCATGCTGTCATTGACTCTCCCTTCTTCCTCTCCATGTTGTAGAAAAAGGCTGTGACATGCTTGTTGGCATCTAGCAAGCTAGGTCGTTCTAACTCATCCTCCAGAAACCTCAGCAACTCATAGGCGCCCCTGGCATGACTGAGCCACTGAGGGTCCTTGAGAGTTTTCGTCCTCACCAATGTCCTGGCGACTCCGGTGAGTTCTTGAACCAACCTTGGTCCCACAAGGTATCTTTTGTGTACTTCTACTGCCATCATGTACTGTAACACTTCCTCCCTGTATGCTTGGAGCATTTCAGGAGACCCATCATAACTGGGTATTTTCCACTTTTCAGACATCTTGCCTCGCGGGCTCGAATGTCCTAGCTTTTCTTTTCCCTGGATCACTGTGTACACCTTCTAGGTTTTCACAGCAAAAAGGCTCCGGCTGCCATGAAAGCGTCAACTTGATTTTGACAGCTAGCCAGGGGCGCTCGATCCTAAATAGAGTGGAATGAACATCAAATGACAATTTGCATATATATATTATATACATACATTACATTACATTACATTACATTACATACCTAACATACCTACATACATACATACATACCTACCTACCTACATACATACATACATATATATATATATATATTTATATTATATTCTGATTCAGGAAGCAGCTCGAGCAGCTGAAGCAGCTAAGAGCATTTACAAGAAGGCAACGGTGGGTCAACACTGACCTATTTGACTCTCTCTCTCTCTCTCTCTTTCTCCCTGTTTTTTCGCTTTCCCCTTTCATCATTTTTCATCAGTGTTTGCCATGTGTTCCTGTGAGGACATAGGAAGACTATTCTCGCTCTCAGATGGAATGCTTTCAAACGGTATGCTCAAAATCTCTTGGAAGGCATCCGAAGCCACTCCCAGTATCTATTTTATATTATTTCATACAGTATTTCACTTTTTACATCGCTTTACTATTTATTCAACGTTTTCACTGTTTATTATTTTTCCGCTGGTTCCTGCATTTGTCTCCAGGCTCAAGACATCCTGGGCCAGGCTGCTTCAGCAAGTCAATCCAACCGCATCCACCTAGAAACCAAATGTTCTGGGAGCATGTGAAAGTTTTTGTTGCACCAGAAAGAATGTGTTGTTACTCTCTCACTTTGAGTCACGAAGCTTTCGGTAGAAGCCATGTGCTGACAATAATATAGGTATGTGACATGTGTCAAAAATGGAGGACCAACGGAACTACAACATTAATATAAATTAATCATGTTTCTGATTGGATCACCTATTCTGGAGGGCAATCTAAGTATGCCGGTTCAAAGAACACGTCGACAGGTGGAGTCTCTGGCATTGGTTGCACAAGCGCATATGTTCATGGCGCAGCACCAAGAATGTATCGCCCATGTTCCGATTGAATATGAAGCCGCACCAAAATGACACAGGAATAAAATGGTGAATTGATCGCTACCAGCGCAGGCGGATTGATCGGATCCTGGGAATCCTGAACTGCGGTGAATTATTTGGTAAATTGATGTAAATTGATGTAAATTGATGTAAATTGTTGATATTATTGTTCAAGTAGGTGCATGTTGGTGCTTTGGTCTTGGTGTGCACTGGCTATGACTTGCTGAGGTCAGCAAGCTCGATGCAACGGAAGAATTGTTTTGACCTTGGACACAATGGGACTGCCACGTGCGTTTGCAATATTTTCCATATTATGTTATATTATGTTCTACTATATTCTAAATATATATATATACACATACACATAAATTATGCATGTTCTAAATACTCACTGCGCTCACTGTCACTCTATTGGTCTACTCAGTCTACTCGATTCCAATCCTTCATGAATCTCTGTGAGGCTTTTGAGAGCCCTGACAATTATCTTGTGTTTTTTTTGAAGCCACGAGCCTGGCAAGTTGATCTTCAGTGGTCTTGGCAGCGTTTGGCTTGAAGGATTATCTTATTGATTATCTTTAAATTAGCTTGGTTGTTGGCGTGAGCCAGTTCGATTTTGGAGCATGGCGGCTTTGAAGCTTAATCCCATGATCAGCAAAATGGAAGAGTTCGGCGCTCAGCCGTGGTTTGGCCATGCCTCAATGCACACACCATCACACCAGCAGAAAGCTACAGTACTTGGTTCCATGCCCAGACAATGCTACAGCCACTGCTGCAGCCAATGCTAACAAAGTGCAACAAATGATAAAGTGCCAAGGTCCTACACAGTTGCTATCTTCAGCAAGGCAAGTTTGCGGAGCTCTGCACAGCGTAGTTCACGACTTTCATATACTTTTATTAATTATACTGTCATTGGCCCAGGTGTCGAATATGAAAAGCCGTGGCGAGAAAGTAAATGGTGCTCTCTGTGTCCCTGAGCCGGCTTCGTTGCGTTTGGTGAGTCTGTGACAATAGTTCTCGTCAATAGCCTCACCAATTTTTCAGTACCGAGTCACACCTAAGGTGGGACAGCCAGACTTTCCACCACCGCCCGAAGCTATCAAAGCCACAGCAGAAGCTGCCGTCCAGGGCCTCACAAGCTACACTGCTGTGACAGGACCTTATTCATCTTTCATGTTTTCCCCTGCAAAATCAAATGAAACTGGCACTGCCGTTTGAGCACCTGTGAAAAGCACGAAATCGTTGAGAAAACCTCTACTGGTAAACTAGGACAAATGGGTATTTTAAAGCCTACATGTTGACTGGCAGGAACACTGGAGTTGCGACAGGCAATCTCGGAGTATCTTCAAAAGTACAAGCAGGCAAGATAGCTTTGCAGAAATTGTAGGACAGATAGGCCCGACGTCCAGTGGCATGCTGCACACACATGCCAAGTCACTTTGACCTTTTATTCAGGTCACATACTCCACAGATGAAATCCTGGTGGCTTGTGGAGGCAACGGCATGTCATGTTTGCCGAGGTTCCGGTTGGCATGCTTCAGAGAAAACCTGCATTCCCACTACTCTTGATCTTGATGGAGAGAGGTTTCCTTCACAATGGATTGAACTGAATGAAACTGAATGAAGTGAATTCCCTGTTCGGCGTCTGACTATGGCACGTGATTCCTGTGAGGCAAACAAGTGATCTACCAGGCCATGATGGCCCTTTGCCAAGAAGGAGATGAGGTCATAGTGCCGGCACCTTACTGGACCTCCTATCCAGCGCCTCAACTTGCAATTTTAGTTTGCACCCGACATGTCAAGTGTTGCCATGAAGCTTTATGAAGGCTCCAGACCATCCAGACCCCAGAAGCTGCAGCTGCCGCATACTCCAAGTGTGCCCTGCGAAACTGACTCTGTCCAAATGATGAGGACATTGTCAAGCTATCGGGAGCATCTCCAGTAATTATGGAGACACTGGCATCAAGTGGCTATGCAATCGATGCAACGAAACTGGCTGCAACAATCACACCAAAAACACGTATGCTAATTGATCCTTGGCGCACTCGAGTCGATCGTTTTGATGCAAAGATTGCTAATTTCTCAACCTTGGTTCACAGATTGTGAAGGTTCCACACGTGCGACAGGTCACAAAGCACAGATGAATATTGAGTACAGTATGCAACCCTCAGAAACTCCAAGATCAGCTGTGAGGTGTGCAATCCATCAAATCCAACAGGTGGGACAGATCCTGCAGAAACATTTTGCAAGCTTGGACTGTGTGGGATGATGTGGGATGTATTTTCATATATTTTCATGTATTTTCTGTTGTAGCACTGCGATGTTTCATTTGCGGCCAAGCCATGCCTTGGGCAGGTTGCGCCATGTCCAAGCAAGAGCTGGAAGCAATTGCTGAAGTACTACGCAGACCTGAAAATCAGCACGTTCTTGTCCATTCGCTGCATGCGATTGATGCATATTAATGAATATTAATGCATATTAATTAATTAATGCATATTAATGCCATTTTGATGCGGTGTTGGGCCTAGTGCAGCTGCTTTCGTTGTAGCCAAAACCCTTTGCAACATTTTGCCAAGGTGCTAAGGGGAGACACTTAATTATAGTATAAACATCTATAAAAAATTCTATAACATTCTATAACCATGTGTTGTTTTTAAATGTGTTTTTGCCAACTTTTCGACTGTGACACTGCAAAGCAAAGGTTCTATCGGACGAAATCTACGAGCGCATTTGCCGAGCCCTTAGACTTAGACCTTGATGCTCATAGGCTCATTGTGCTTCAATTGGCGCAGAGGCTACGATGGCTTAGAACACGCATCCTTTGCCACATTGAAGGACCTTGCTGAATATGCGTGCGACCAATGCTGCGTGATGATTTCGGTGTCCAAATGCCTGAAAAAGATTGCTACGTAGAACACTTGCGACGAAAACATACCAAGACAATGATGAAGCTCAAGCCAAGAGTCGAGGATATGTGGAGCCGAACGTTGACGATCAACGGATTTAGCAAAGCCTTTTCCATGACAGGTCTCTCAGCTGCACTGAAACGCTATGGTCAATCCTTCATCTGAGCAATTGCAGCATTTTGCAGCTATTGTTTACCGCAAAACTGTACACTGATCAGCACACCCATTGCATCCTGTTGCACTTTGACAGGCTACAGATTGGGCTACCTGGCTGCCCAAAAAGATATTGTCAAAGCAGTCTCAAAGCTGCAGTCCCAGTGCCTTGGTTCATTTGGCGTCCTGGTTCTGGAATCACTTCCCTGATTCCCTGTACTGTACTCAAAGCACATTTCAAATACTCTCCGTGGCAGGGCTTTATAAAAACTGCAGAAAGTTTCAGGCCCTACCCTTCCTTCACTTTACACTGTTCCAACAATCTTGTGGGCATCCGAGCACATCAGAGTGTTTGTGCCGGTAAACTTTCGATAGCCCGTATTTTGCCTTCTGCCATCCTGTTTATGGCAGATTCTTGCCACATCTTTCACATTCGCTCTGAGGATAGGTCGGATAGGTTGTATGTGATTGTATATTGTGTGTACAAACTGAGGATAACATCCTGTGCATCTAGCATCGGCCAGCATGCTGGCATTGCAGCGCTGAAGTGCGATATGAGTACTTTGGCTTTACTGTAATCCAATCTACATGATCCTTCCGACAGCTGATGTTGAACTCATGATCTTGTCATACTTGCCGAGCCCTCTTTCTAGAAAACCGGAAGGGAATCTCAGGCAAGTCTTGGTCATATAAATCAGAATGAGGGAAGGTATTTTCAATTGAGGCGGTTAGAAGATAGTAGAAGCATTGGGGCAGAAGGATTCTGGAACTGAATGCTGCTCCTGCAAAAGGCTACATAGATGCAAGAGTCGTAGAACTGCAAGAGAAGCGAGATCTGGCAATGAGCCTCCTTGCAAAGATATCCGCAGCTCTGAGTGCAATTGGCCTAGGCAAACCAATTCCTTTGCCAAAGGAATCTGATTCTGAATGCGGTCTTGTCATGTTTTGTATTGTTTGTCATGTGTGTTCCAAAGCAGCTCAGGACGTGCAATGTCCAAAGCCAAGCGGTGCATTCTATTTGCTTGAGACTAAGTCTGCCATTCTGGCATGTCATAAAGATTTCGCAAGATGAAGTGTACCGTGCTGCTCCTGTTAGGATTCCCAGATATCCAGATGCCAAGGTTTCCCGACATATCCGCATACTTTGGCCGAAGAACTCCAGATGAAGAAACCATTGAGGATCGTCACAAATAGCTCGCGCTTTGTGTACGGTTCCCGGATTGTTGTTTGGAGAGAAAGGCAAACACCGCTTTGACTAGTGGTTTGGGCTAGGGATTTGCAGTCATGTATCAACTTCATCGTAAAAGTTTGAACTGGTAAGGGAGTCATGTCATATCATGTCATCTTTGTGCAACCCATCAACCCAAATCGCGGATCAAAATGTTTGTTTGAAATGACGCAGTCACTTGACGACCACAGGACGGTGTGCAGCTGTGCCTCTATTTGCTGCAGAAGTGTCTTTGTTAGCATATCAAGATATTGCAAAAACTCTTGGACCACGAATCTTTGCCAAACAATGCTTCCACAAATGTGTATGATGAATTCAAATGAATTCAAAATCGATGACATTTGAATAGAATGAATAGAATTTGATTTTCACCAACATTCCACAGGACTTTGGTACTCGTACCGACTCGTAGCATTCTGGATGTGACCGGCGACTCTTGGCACCTGAGGTATCAGGTTGCCCTTGTGCCTGGCATTGCTTTTGGCAATCCAAAGTGTCTTCGCCTCTCGTATGCCGCGACCAAGGAAAACATCACGGAAACTCGGCAAGACACTGCACTGAAGAAGGCATATCTCAGAGGTTTTGGTAGTAGCATGTTGTATGTACCTCACTGGTAGATGTGCACTCGGGATAAACTATGACAATGTCAAAACTTATGACATCGTTGGCATTGACCATACAAGTGCACTGGTTGAATAAGCCCAGGATGCTATAACCAAGCTGCTTGGAATGCAAACCAAAGTGATATATGGGATATGGGTGACCAAGTTATTTGTATCACTAAAGGATGAAAGAAGGATGAAACAGAGACCAATGGCAATCGATCACAATCAATGGGCGGGATCGTCGGAGATGGTCAGACTCTTGTCAGCCCGGCCTCTGCCAGGCTGGGGCTTTGTTTGCAATCACTGACAACGGCGAAGAAAGCACGGACATCATGAACTCAAGATGAACGCAGGATGAAGGCTGGAAAGCAATTGTAACAAACGGTCCAACACGAAGTTATAATACGATTCCATTGTCAGTTCAGTTGTGTTTTTTAATTCAAGAGCCCGTAAGTTTGAGAAGCCTTCCGGAGCCCACTGCCCCTTCCGAAGCTTCTCAGGTTGATGCTACCCCGGAAGCATCGGAAGCAACAGCCATTGGCGCTGAGGTGCATGGTGCTTGTTTCATCTTGTTTCATCTTCCATTCTGTTTCCAGTTGAACATTATTGAAACTTAAGGATATTAATGGATAATATAGATATTAATAGTTTTTCATAGTTTTTCTCTAGTTCAAGTCTGATGTTTTTGCATGGCTGCGGTCTGAGGACGACAACTTCGCCAGACGGAGCTGAAGAAGCAACCGCACTGCCTCGGTGCGATGGCGCTGCTGGTCCGACAAGATGCCGAGAGATGGAAAAAGCAAGCCGCGAGCCACGCTGCCAACCAGATTTTGTCAGTTCTGCGTATGTTCTGCCTACATGTTGGATATGTTTAGTATTGTTTAGTCGATTTTGGTTTGATTCTAGTTGGGCACTCCCTTTTTGTTTATGGCGTCTTGGCGCAACTTTGCGCATATTTACGTTGAGGCAAGAGGGGCCTGTCAAGGAGAACAAGCTGAACATCGCTGGTTCTCGTGCCTATGTTGTCATGATCTCAGCAAAGTTCGACGCACCTCACCTACAGTACTTTTGGAGCGTGACTAAAGTGTGACTAAAGGTTACAGTATATAGCATGTAGGAGATGCTAGGAGTAAGTCAGCTCTGCTCGGCTAGCATGTACCAATATGAGTTCCAATGTTAGTGGAGTCCAGATAGAAGTGGAGGCTTCTGTTTCAGAGGCGACTGACGAAGCTATGGAAGTCATCAAGGACTGCAGAGATGAAAAAGCAATAGCTGGAAGCTCAAAATTTCTTTTGATATTTGTTGAATTTTGTTGATATCTGAGTGGATTGCTATGCTTAGCGGATGCTTAGCGGCTTAGCGCAAGCTTGCGTGGCCAGTTTTGTTCTAAGAGCTCGGGCTTGGAGACAGAGTGCATATCCGTGTGGTCTCAGGCCACTGCCAATCTATCACGTGCTGAGGTGCCTCAGTTGGGGTGTCCAAACATAACATCCTCGAAAACAATAGTGCTTCTCGTATCTTTTCGTTGCTATTCAATGCCTTTCTCTTTTAGATTATGTTTGTTTTTTCTTTTTATTGTTTTTTTTTCAGAATTTCTCAAGCAGCAGGTGCTTTCGCTCTTTGGAGAAACTCGCGATTCTGTATCAGCTGCCAGCCTGGGCCCCAGAAACGTAAGCCCATCAGTGTGATGCAGTGGCTCGGCTTAGCACGTCCTGTTGTCAGGACGTGCTTGTGATGGTTTTCGCCGAAGAGGCACGATCCTGCTGGATCACTCCCAGCCATCGTTCATCGTTTCCTTTAAGTTTTGTTGAATCCCAGCTGGGGTAGGTGACAAGCAGTCACTAGCAATGGTCCTGCTCTGAGAAAACTGGTGAGAAGCGCGAAGCTTGTGAAGCCCGTGCGAAACTCCAATTTCGACTCAGATAACTGAAACCCACCAAAGTTCCCGAAGGCATTGATGCTCTCAGCAAGAGGCTTTCTTGAGCTCGGGCATTTGGCTCAGTTTTGTGAAAGTCTCAAGATTGGCTGCATCCCCAAAGCTTGTGGTTCTTGTTGTTGACGTAAATAATCGTAAATATGTCCAGACAGTCAAGGCAGGCAGGATTTGATGGTATTGACTTGATGTTCCTGCCTCTTATTTTGTCAAGGACGGCAGGTTTGGCTGAAAAGTCTGCAGAGGAGGCAGGAAGTGCAGGGAAGTGCCATGGGGGAACTGGTAAAATTGCAACATGTTCAGTAGACTCAGACAATATGCGAACATATGTGAAACCTAGATTTGACTTCCCAAACGTCTCGGTAGTCAATCGTTTGTCGTGTGTGAGGCGTTGCACCTCTTCACCAGTATCAGAGATGAAGAGGGTGTGGTTTGCCCTCAGTTGATGTGCATATTTGTCGCGTTTTGGTCAATGTGTCATACAATGTCCACACTCCTGGAACACCGCTGGAATCCTCTGGAGCATGAGTGTTTCAGCGCTTGTCTATTTGAGGCTGCTGCGGAGGAATTGCTGAACGAAATTGGACCGAGACAGCCTCAGTATACAGCCATATCTGATTATGTTTGATTATCATTGATTATTTATGTGGTGATCGATCTAAAGGTCCTTGCATATATATATATATAATATAATATATAAATGTCATGTGTGTGTGTGTGAAACATCTGAAAAGATGTAAAACTTCTAACATTCGTGGTATCTTATTTCTCAGTGTCTTGAAAACAACAAATTGCAGGGGGGCAGAGGGGACTTGCAAAGCTCTGCCCAACGAAGCTCTTTGCAAGCATCCCAGGAAGCACGGACTGATCATCCGTGTGTACCTGCCAGGTTATGATCACCTGTTGTTCAGGGTTTGCTTCCGATTTCATTTCGATATTGTCATGGCACCCGGCCAAGCCTAGAACCGGCAAGTCGATTCGATTTTCATTTCATTTCTGCACTGTTGTCGCAATCTGGAATTTTCATACCCTCAACCACTTAAGGTCTATAGTACTGGACCCTTGGGGGGTAGACCACCTAGGGTCTGAACTAGAACTCGTAGCACTATAGACCCCAAACATTTATTTCACTCTAGACCCTGGACATATTTACACCCAAAAAATAAACTATCCTATGATCTATGTTACAAGATGTTACAAGATGTTACAAGGAAATACAGATCATGTTGCAAGATATATCAAGATACAACATGTATTCTTACATATTCATGTATGTATATATATAAATATATATATATTCAACTTAGCTGTCAACGAAATCAGTCCCATTTCATCCATGCCGCAAACGAGCATTGCAACATGTTTTTGAACCGTCTATGATCTTAAAATTCAATGATTGGTGGCTTGATCTTGAAAGAAACAGTGGTAGACATGATAGGCTGCGCTAGAGAAAGTAGGCTTCTACTTGTACCAAGTAGCCTGGGTCTACTTTGATGTCATTGGACTTGTTATGTGTTTTTGGGCTGCCCACCCCACGGAACACCATTCTAGACCTTCCCATTTCATCCATGCTGCAAACGAGCATTGCAACAAGTTTTGGAACGGTCTATGATCTTAAAATTCAATGATTGGTGGCTTGATTTTGAAAGAAGCAGTGGTAGACATGAGTAGGCTGCGCTAGAGAAAGTAGGCTTCTACCAAGTAGCTTGGGTCTACTTTGATGTCATTGGACTTGTTATGTGTTTTTGGACTGCCCACCCCAGGGAACACCATTCTAGACCCCGTGGCTTTGGCCTCCTACAGGAAAGCATGAAGGTTTTGAAGCATTTGGCAGAAGAGGGAAAGCAAGCAAAGAACAGGGCAACACTGAAAGCAATCTGACTATGATTACATCCCTCCTTCCAAGAATGTACATTGTTCAGTCTCCATGCAATCCCACGGAGAACTCCTTGGGTCAATCCCCTCGGAGCATTCTTGAAAGATGGAACTCCTCTCAGTCCCAATGCCTTCCAGCACCAGCACCAGCAGCAACTGTTTTGAACAAGAAAGGCAACAAAAGCATGGAAAAATTGCGATCCGATCCTGGCTCATCTTGCATCTGATGTTGGAACATGTTGGAACAACATGGAGAGGTATTGAAAGGTAATGGAAAATATGAAGAATATAACATGAGATATACATGCAAACAATTGTGTCTGGGAAACCTCTGCAGACCTCGTGAGGAAACCTGATCAGACCTCAGGCCCTTCCGTTTAGAGGAAGGTCTGGACAGATGCATTTTCAACATTTAGGTTTTCCAATGAGAACTTCGAAAGACCCATCCCTCAGGGTCTATAGGGCTTTATATCTAGTCCCCCCCCCAAGTAGTTGATGGTATGAATTTTCTATGGTCAATAGAGGAAGAACGAGCTGCATCAGAATGATTTGATTCATCTAGCAAGGACGTAGAAAGACTACCTTCGAACAGTTTCTCACTTCTGATCTTCCAACTACTCGTGTCAGGTTTTACTGAAGTGTTTTTGCACGTACGATGCATTCCACATCAAAGCTGCATCAGAATGATTTGATTCATCTAGCAAGGACGTAGAAAGATTACCTTCGAACAGTTTCTCACTTCTGGTCTTCCAACTACTCCTGTCAGGTTTTACTGAAGTGTTTTCGCACGTTCGATGCATTCCACATCAAAATTCGCAAAGATGGTTCTGAGCAAGTGTGTGATTCAAGCTGGATTCGTCAAGGTGGCATGAACCCTTCGGGGAATGCTTGTCTAAGCAAAGTGTGGATGCAACGACCTGATGACTGAATTTACATTTTTGAATTAGTAACTCGTTTAAGTAAAGTGAATTGCCGGCCTTTTTTTCAGTGTTTCACACGTCGGTCGGGTGAATGTTGAAACTGCTTGCCGCCGTACCCGGCGTCACCATTTCGTCTAAATCTCAAGGGTTGGTAGACTTCAGCCGCGACAACAATTCCTTTTCCAACTTTGCCCAAGTACGGTGCTCAACAACTTGCAGGATGTCACATGATCAGGTTAGGCTTCAGGACATGCTTGCAGGTATGGTGACTCTTCTTTTTTGGTCGTTGGTGAGGTTCAATTGTGCACGTAATTCAAGGGTTGACGACGTAAGCTGCCCACAGGGTTGACGTGACATTTAGGACTGTGAGCCTGCAACGAGGGGAAACTTGCATGATTTTGTGGATGTATCAGTTCATTAGCTAGTTCCCCATGGGTCCCCTATTTCATGCGTTCTCCCCTCTACAGGTTGGTTGGGTCCTTCGCGTGCCGAGGTAGGCGTAGGTTTTCGCCGTGTTAGGTTGGTTCAGGCGCTTCCGTCCTTCCCCCCCCTCCGCTGGTCTTGTTCCGTGTCCGTCGGCCTTCGCTTTTCTTTTCCCTTGCCTTTCCAGGGTTTGCCCGTTTTGGGCTAGGTTTCATGTGTTGGTGTTTTCTCCTTCCTTCTTCTTTTGCGTTCCCCTCTTTGCGTCCTGGTTAAGTAACTTTCATCTCAGTTTCACCTGCACCTCATTTTCATTTCCCTTCTTATGTCCGGACCTTAATTTTTTCCATCCTCCTGCGGGAGGGTGTGTGTGTGTGTGTGAAACATCTGAAAAGATGTAAAACTTCTAACATTCGTGGTATCTTATTTCTCAGTGTCTTGAAAACAACAAATTGCAGGGGGGCAGAGGGGACTCGCAAAGCTCTGCCCAGCGAAGCTCTTTGCAAGCACCCCAGGAAGCACGGACTGATCACCCGCGTGTACCTGCCAGATTATGATCACCTGTTGTTCAGGGTTTGCTTCCGATTTCATTTCGATATTGTCATGGCACCCGGCCAAGCCTAGAACCGGCAAGTCGATTCGATTTTCATTTCATTACTGCACTGTTGTCGCAATCTGGAATTTTCTATGGTCAATAGAGGAAGAACGAGCTGCATCAGAATGATTTGATTCATGTAGCAAGGACGTAGAAAGACTACTTTCGAACAGTTTCTCACTTCTGATCTTCCAACTACTCCTGTCAGGTTTTACTGAAGTGTTTTTGCACGTACGATGCATTCCACATCAAAGCTGCATCAGAATGATTTGATTCATCTAGCAAGGACGTAGAAAGATTACCTTCGAACAGTTTCTCACTTCTGGTCTTCCAACTACTCCTGTCAGGTTTTACTGAAGTGTTTTTGCACGTTCGATGCATTCCACATCAAAATTCGCAAAGATGGTTCTGAGCAAGTGTGTGTGTGTGTGTGGTGAAACTGTGGCTCCTGGTGCTTCTCTGAAAAGTGCCTCGGTCTTGCACTCAGGAGCGGCATGGCTATTTCTGGAACACCCAACTATGAGATTGAGGTGCCCTGTAATTCAAAGTTGGGGATCCATAAACATGCGATGTTGGATTTGGAACAGTTTGGAATTTGTCAAACTTTGTTCCTTCCTGAAGAATTACACGCCTGAAGGCACCTGTTGGACAGACACCGGCCGGCGGAGCAGCTTCGTATTCATCTCAGCTGGCTCTTAAGTCAACGAGAATCCATAAAACATCATCAAACCTTTAACCATATTTGAACAGGACCTTTGTTCAGATGCATTCAAGGTGTTTTTCAAATCACGTCTGCCTTTGCAGGGAAGCTGGTGCTGTAGCACAGAAGGGGTCCAATCCTCAAATATTTCTTCGATGCAATGTACAACAAGAAGCTGGTGCAACTTGAGGCCTGATGCAGCACAAGTGAAAGAGATGATCCGAAAGGAGGTGGAGAGTATCTTGGGCAGCGCCCGCCTTAGATCATGCCAGATGACTAGAAAAAACGCAGAAGGAAAGGACACTGTCTGAATCCGTTTGAGATTCGAGTACGTCGATGATGATGGCAACTATGATATCAAGCGATGACGATGATGAGGATGAGATGTTGATGTTGATGTTAAAGGTGTCGGACAGTTCTTTTGGTGACACTACATAGTGATACCAAATCAGCTCCATGGCATTGCGACTCAGGTAGTGATGAGGTGGCTAACGACACCCCATTGATGGACACCGGTCTGGACCGCTAAAACTTGCCACGCTGAATTGAAATGAATTGAAAACTGACAACGTGACTGTTTCCCGCTTGGACTCACCCTGAAAGTCCACCAGGACAGTTTGTCTGCAGTCCAGTTCCGCAACGACCTGACTCGCGACTTCAATGTCAAACTGTTGGGTACCCGGTACATCCCGGTATCAAGAAAGTGGCTTCAATGAAGCTCCACCAGATGCAACTCTCATTTCTCATTGGATTTGTGAATGCTACGCATGAATCAGGCCAGCTTCACTGATGCGCGGAGCCAAGTTTGTAGATAGTCTACCAATCCAGCTTCCGTGCGAAGCAACGCCAATTTTATTGAGTTCCTGCGATAGCACAGAAATGAGGTTCGACTATCCCACCATCACTGCGCTCACGGAGAAGATTGTGCAATCCTTGGAGGACCTTTGATGCGTGGAATATGTCCTTTGTCTTTGGTTGCGAAACTGAATTCTGGTAGGAGGGCTAGATGCCATATATTCAAAATCTTCCGAGATAAATCTAGTCTCCACAAAAATAGATTATATTATCTGGAATATTAATGAATATATTTAAACTTTAAACTGAAAATAATTTGATTGATAGAAACATTATAGAAATAGGAAAATACAACAGAAAATAGATGTTCTAAATAAATCCGACTATATTTCTGTATATATTGAAACAAAATAAAAACGAACTATAGAACAACAAATATATTTTGAAAATTTTGTTTATAAGTAGCGACGGTAATTTATATATTATTATGTTCGTTATTTTTCTTTGACAATTGAGGGGTGTGGGCGTGGGCTCAAAAGCCGAGCTCTGAAGCCATGCTAATGAGAAAGGCTTTCCTGAAAAAGACAGATCAAAAGAAAGGAAAAGGAGAAAAAGGATGGAAAGACAGAGGAAGTATTGGATGGGCACAATACACTACAATATTCGGTCATGAAACTTACCCCGCCAAATCCAAAGTGCTGGTGCTGCCGGAGCGTCGCGTCTACATTGCTAATAATTGCTACTAGACTGCTGCTAGATTCGCTGTAGGCTGCTGCTAGGCTGCCTCCTGCTGAACTGCTGCTGGGTTGTTGCCATGGGGCGCGGTCAAATTGCTGCTTGACTCCTCCTACATTCCTCTATACTGGTGTAGGGCTGGTGCTGACCTGCTGCTGGGCTCTTGCCAGGCTGGTGCTAAACCGTTGCTGCGTGGCTGGGTTGTTGCTACTTGTACGGGCTGCTGAATTTCTCCCTGATTTTTGCTAAGCTGTTGCTAGATTGCTGCAGAACTGCTGATTATTGCAGATTCCTGCTCGGCTATTGCTAGGCTGTTTCAAAATTGCTGGACTTGTGCTAGATTGCTGCTAGATTGCTGCTGGGCTATTAGGGAACTGCTGAGTGCGTACTATTAAACTTCTAGCTGGATCTAATCTCCTGCAACAATTGCTGCTGGTTTGTTGCAGGTTATCACGAAAGCTAGCGGTAGCTAGCTGGAGTAGTGGTTGTAGTAGTTGTTGTAATTGTGGTTGCAATTGTAGTTGTAATTGTAGTTGTAATTGTAGTTGTAATTGTAGTTGTAATTGTAGTTCTAATTGTAGTTCTAATTGTAGTTGTAATTGTAGTTGTAATTGTAGTTCTAATTGTAGTTATAATTGTATAGTTGTAATTGCAGTTGTAATTGTATAGTTGTAATTGTAGTTGTAATTGTATGGTTGTAATTGTAATGTAATAGTAGTAGTGGTAGTATGTGGTAATATATTCTGCAATGGAATATAATATAGTGCATTGGAAATATATTCTGCAATGGAATATAATATAGTGCATTGGAATTATATTTGTATGATAATGGTAATGAAAATACGATATGGATAAATAAATAATATTATATATATATTATT